TTAAAATCACACATTCTCTCCATATCCAAGCACTTAACACCAATACCAAAAAAAACCCGTTATGACTAGCCAAAGTAGTAAACCTCCTAACTAAAGGTGGGTGTGAGAACTGGCTGAGGGAGGAAGGAGTACGGTGATACAATTAGATGTAGGAGATTCATGAGAGACCTTACACTGACTTGCAGGACAGACCCAAGTAAGACAGACAAGAGAACATCTCTTTCTCTGCTGCCAGGACCTGCCCTTTGAGTCTCTCCAGGCTGAGTATAAGGTTGTGCAATGACCTTCTCTATTTCAATCTCACAATCACCTAGAAATCGCAAAAGGTGGGCAAATCTGTATTATTGTCCTGTTCCTGAATCCTATGCTTCAGGTTTAAACATGCACTGATGATTGAGCGATTTCCCACCAGCTCACAGAGCAGCACCAAGCAAAGCGCACAGTAGCTGCTCACCTTTGCCACTGCATGCCAAACCCATGGAAGTTAATCAAAACACTAGACATTGCTTTTTAATGACTCAACAGCCCAACACACTATCATCATCTCTTTCCAATATGTACGGTATTAATGGTTTTCACAATCACTATGTGACTCACAGGCACTCTCAGTTAAGTTTTACAGGTTGCCTTCATTATTATTGCTGAGAGTTTAACCCCACTTTGTACTTATGGAAACAAAGGCACAGAGGAAACAAACAACTTTGCAAAAAAAAATTATGAAAAATTAAAAGGAAGAAACCCCACATCTCTACACTGATGCTACTTCCACACTGCTGAGCTATCTCCTCTTTCAGAGCCACAAAGCAGGCCAGATGGTGCAGAGAAGCAGCTCTGCTGAGACAGGAGGTTGATAACCACACGGAGATGTGATAAACCCATGGAGCGGCTGAAATATCAACGAAAGGTCATATGGCCCAAAACCCATGTCACTTCAGGGTTTCCATGAATAACCTGAAATAACTGTCACAATGGCTTCCTCAAAGAGCAACCTTTCGGTGCAGCACAAGAACCACATCCAGCATGTTTTCATGGGAAGGAGAGAGAGGAAATAAAAGGGACATAGGCACAATCCCACTGTCTGGAGGAGCGGGACGGTTAGCAATTTGACAGACAGCAATGTCATTTTTACTGTAAGAATTTATAGATTGAGCGGAAACTGTGCAAGGACTTAAGAAAATGTATCTGATTTAAATACAGAGGGAGGGTCTATGTGGCATGGACGTTGGAGAGGCTGGCACACGATCATCCAGAGTGCTGAGAAATACTCCAGCCAGAGAAAAATACCGTGCTGTCTCAGAACAGGTCATCACGGTAACTGATCTCAAGTGCTTCACCCACGAGACTGAATGCCTGAACATTATACCTTTTTTCTATCTTTCACCTCTGAATTGATCTTGAGCCATCCAAGGAAGTTGCTGATGCCATGAAAGCATAACCATTTAAAAAGCAGCAGCAAGAATACTAGCAATAAAGGACTTAAATCACTTGTCCAGCTACACAAACGAAGCAGCTGAGATCTGACGGAACAGAGGATTTGTCTTGAAACAATTACTCCTCAGCTGGTTGGCCTGCTCTTGCCCCACCAGATCCCCAGCATCACTGCTACCCTAGGCCAAGAGAATAAAACCACTGGAGTGTACTGACATTCAGCTGCCATATACAGGATAGAAGAAATACCTCAACTAGACTTCAGATCTCTCATTATATTAGATTGCTTTTAAAAACTAACGTACACATGGTGTTCTGCACAGCAAATATGTCACCAAATTTTACAAATGGATGATAGTATATATACCAACAGTATAGAGTAAGTTATTAAAATAGCAATTCATATTCCAAATGCATGCTCAGATTGCCTCAAAAAGTAGAATTTAATTTTGAATTAGTATCTCTTCAACTCAAACTCATGAAATAAAAAAGTATCAGTTACACATAAAAATCCATGATTTGTATCAATGAAGTATTTTACTAAAAAGGTAAAATATTCTGATGAATAAAGTTACACTTAAATTATTTCTGACTACTTGTGGTCCAGGGAAAAAAGCCAGTATATGTCCTGCAATGCACTTTCAGCCTACCTAGTTAAGTAGTTTATCACAAATATGCTTTGGAAGAAATTAATTAGCTCATTAGGTTTAGCTAATAGTTTGTTTAGCCTTCCTTTGACAACAGTGACATTTTAAAAGAGTATGTTCTACAACTTCAGAAAACAAAATCCCACATGACAAGTCTCAAAGAACACCAAGTACAAGCAACACATACCACCAGGAGTTGTAGAATATTTTAAGAGATTACTATTTCTCTGGTAACAATTAAAAAATAACTTTAAGAGACTAAGAACATCACAAAAAGGTACAGCTTCATTGATGCATTGCAATTTTTCAGAATTTGGTGAAGTAATCTGTCCTTTATCAATCCCTGAAATAATGCCACAAATAAAAGACCTAATTCAGGGTAAACTGATTGTGATGAATCCAACAAGTTTCTTGTTGTCATGATAGCATACTTTTTTGGTTTAGAAGAACTGTGTGTTTTGAGGACTTCAGCAATTTCCTTCTCTTGAAGTACACCGTGTTTAAAAAAAAAAAAAAAACAACAAAAAAAAACAAACAAAAAACCCCACAACACACCACTGCCTGGTAATCAATCACCTACCATATTTATCAGTTTTCACATTCAAATTGCTAAAAAGAGGGACAACTGCATAAGCATGTCAAGAATGTGAAGGCTGATAAAAAGCAATGAGCTAGCACTACACAAAAACACCCAAGTCAGCCTTCTTACCTTTCCGAGGCTGTTAGTTTGGCAAACTATGGTCCTTTAACGATGTTCACCCCACCCACGTCTGTTTTTCTCATCAGAATGACCCCGCCTGTTTCCTCTGCACACCGCAGCCCTCACCGAGCATCAGCCTTGTTCAGAATGGGCTTAAGGAATACTAAGAATAACATCGCCATTTCCATCCCCTCCTTCTACATTTCTCTCAAAGTATGAATCTGCCACTGATGGAAAAGGTTTACATTACAGGAAGTTTCATGTTTAGAGATCACACTCCTACAACGTGATACAAAATGGGAAAGTAACATTAGTATTTATTCTTTTATTTTAAAAAAATATTTTCTATACCTTCATTTCGTAGTTCCCTCTTCACTCTGTCCCTTTTAAATTGCAAGTAGTGCTTACAGAGGAATTTGAATTAACTTCACACAAGTTTAACACTGGTACAAGCAGCATCACAACCCCCATGTTTTCACATGCATGGTCAAGAAGCAATGCCATACCTATTCAGTTCTTGAACTGCTTCTTCAATCTGCCCATCAGGCTGCCATGCTAACAACTACGACACTGGTTCCTATAGTACGGATACCTGTTTGTCAGATAGTATTTGGATATCACCTGCTCATTTCAGGAAGACAACCCAAAGTGTCTGCAGATATCCACAGCTCTCCATCACTACCAACCCAAGCCAGTTCCATATTACTGACCTCAAGATGGAAGATTCAATATGCCAACACTCAGAATTGGGTGCCACCCAGTCCTCCCACCCAAATTTATTTTTAACTTCAGAATCAATTTAATATGGTATTTTAGAAGGACTTATTGGACATCCCAAACTGATACTCAGCGACAGGTGAGGAATCACACTGGCAAGGGGTAGACTTGCCCTTGGCTGATACAAAGACTTATTGGAACCAGAATAAGAAAAGCTGATGCTGTTTTCTTCTTTTGGCTTCCTACAGCTCTGGAGACTTACATCCACAAAATTGTGTTGGTTTTGTTTAATTTTGTTAGTACTACCATCCACACAATAACAAGCAAACTAGTAAGAATTATGTCACAAAACTTATTCAGATTCTTCTCCAAGTCACTCTGTGCAACACAACTGCAGAATTCAGCAGCAAAGGTAGGGGTATAATCCATAAGGCATTATAACACAAAACCAAACAAGTGAGAGGTGGAAAGGAAAAACACAGCATAGGAAGACCCTTTTCCAGTCCCTAGGAAGCAGCCAAAGCAAGCATCTTTTCTTGCCAAAGGGCTGGATTATTTAAGATGCAAGAAAAGTTATCCCTTGTTCTCAACACCAGAAAAGGTTCCCTACCCATATCCAGCATCCTCTAACCTTTCAAACACCGAAGCATTCAGCAGGTGCACTGGGCAGAAAAAAGGGAATGCATACAAATATACACACACAGAGACAGGAAGGAGTAGTTCAGAAGATGCTCTGTCCACCTGTTTTATTAGCACTTGGTCAGAAAACATCTCCTCAATTTCTCAAGAAACAAAAAGCTGAATACCAAAAACCTCCCATCCAAATATTGGCATGAAATTGTTCGAGGTTGGTGTCTGGTCTTGAGAGGAGTGTGGAAAAGAACTGCCAGTCTCCCTCAGCGAGGTTTGTAGGAAGTAACTGAGCATTTGAACTTGCGTAGCCCTTCACATTTTCTCAGTCCTCTATAAACACTGACTAACAGCAACCAACACAACAAGAGCTTCCTAGCATAATTTATATACAAAACCATTGGACCAGTAAAACAAACACAAAATGATACTTCTGAAAATAAACAAATAAGCTTACTGGCCATTGGAAGCACACTGTGTTTTACAACAAAATTTGTAAGCTTAGCTTTTAGATCAAGTTCACAGTTCACACTGTAACAGAACCAGTGTAAAATTAATCTGTATAAATACACAAGGAGAAGTGACACACAGACAGAAACACACCACACATACTGTCTGTGAAATACACTATATATATATGTAATTTCAAAACTGAACTGTATGTATGCAGCATTTCAAGAAGGCATTAAAAAAATTCAAAGGAACAAGATCTTTACATAACTGTATTACAATGTATATAAAATGATTAAACACACGTTATGTTCTTTCACATTATTTACAATGTAATGATCTATGTACCATCAATTTAAAAAAAAAATTGCCAGGCTTAATCCTGATTTAACCTCACCCTTAATTATTAAAAATAGTTAAGCACTTACCATAATGTGATTGAAATGCCTGTGGTTTTACGACCTGATTACAGTGGTTACACATCACCAAATAGAAATCATCATGAGCCGGGCAAAGACCAAATATTGGCATATCTAAAAACAAAAAGACAAAATGGCATCTCTCAGCTGCTGACAATTATTGAAAAACAGTTTAATTACAGAGCCATGACACTAGTGTTGAATCATAATTTTAATACATTTGTATCAAATTTGAAAATGAGCAAAAAAGAGCATATAATGCAATAGATAATTTTGTGCTGGAGTATAACAAAAGCAAAAATCTTCCTACAAAGATAAATGTAAAATGACTGATTACTTGTAGAAAACATCTATTAGAAAACTGATTTAGGACTGATTATCTTATACCAGATGCAAGAGTGTAATAAAAAAGACTGACTTCAAATGACAAACACAACGTAAGAGGGGATCTTTTATGTATTCTGAAAGAGGTTTCTATTTTATTCCAATTTCATTAAATGAATTAAAAAATGAACTTTATTTTCTATTTAATTTTTTTAAAACCATTTTAAACACACAGTCATTTACCAGGCAGTATTACATGCCTAATGGTTTTATTTGTTTAACAGTGCATTATAGTCCAGCCATCTGCTGCCAGAGATCTGTGTAACAGCTATATAAGAGAGAGAAATAAGAGATAACAGTATGTCAGAGCATGTGTGGATTTCAGAGATAACACACATACTTGCAGACTTTTACTAATAAAATTAGTTCCTACAATTCTGTTTTTAAGAATACAGTTTCTTAAGAATATAGTTTAACAGTAAAAACTGCATTCAGAGACTACTGGAGCATTAAAGACAACATTTACTACACAACTTAAAGGTATATTACATTTACACAAGTAAAAATGTTATTCAACCATTAGAAGACAAAAAATAGGAAACTGCAAACATAATAGTATAAATTATTTATTGCCAAACACGTGGCTAAGGGATCTATAACACTATGTAAAGGTTTACAACTGATACAAGAAAACTTATTTTCTTAAAAAAAATACTCAATAATAGAGTTATCTTAACGGTAACTTAATTTCTAAGTTAAACTTACTTACTTCTGTGCTAGAACTGACCCCAGAGTTTTGTTTTAAAGCTGCTAATTTGCCTATGTGTATTTTTATCAACATCCATATTTTTGTTCACTAGTGGAACTCCAATTATGAAATAAGTTGAGTGGGCTACATTTTAAGAGTGAATGTGCCATAACACAAGGTAACCACTGGCATAATGATGCTGTCAGTCCTGTTGAGCCCCACGGACTCCTCACAGACAAAAGAATGTATTCACACCAAATGGCTCCCTTCGTAGTAAGTATCCTCATCACAAAAACGTAACTACTTTTCTTTAAAAAATAAGGTCTATCCCAGGTTTTCCAAAAACTTTAGTGTTACATTAAAGTTAAGTATGATACCTGCAATAACAGCTGCAACTGGATTTTGCAGTTGGACACAAATACAAGGACCATGGACATCTGACATGGCTGTGATAGAGCAGAGTTACACTTATCTAAGTCACAAGCACCTCTTCACAACTGAGGTTACATTAAATAATCTGATTTGCACTTCATTAAGTAGCGACTCTTGCTTATTCATATGATAATTATTTTAAAAAGTATTAAGACCTCAGTCACACCTAACTTACTGCAAACTAGGCAAAACTAGTAAATATATGGTGGGGGAAAAAATAAAACAGGTAGGACTAATAAACTTCTATTTTTCAATATCTACTTTCTGTGATGTAATATTAAGCTGGGGGGGAGGAGGAACATAAACTTAAATGTTATTGCTAGTATTTCATGCAGGAGTTTTTTGGGTATGCCTGCATAAAAAAGTTTCCACACGGCAAGCAAATACCCCAGAGTTACTTCCATTTGACTACTAAGACACCATGATAAATAAGACAGTAACAGCACACACTGCCTGCTATTTACATTGTTAACAGCACACAGACAGGATACTACTGTATAACGTCTAATGAACTTTAAATCCACACTCTATAACCTGTTCTCATAACCGTACCTTTCAGACAACACTGGATTCACAGACTTTACATCAGCTGGTACAGAATATGTGTGTGTGTGTGGGGAATCATTAACACAAGAAAAGGATTGCCTACTTCTGTGGCTCTTGCAAGATAAAGCACTCCCTGACACTAGTCTGAGACATCATGCTCACCCTATTTAAGGACTCCTTTATGAATATTTGCTGGCAATACAGAGTTGCAACTTTAAATGACAAATGAAACGAACTGGCAGCAATTGATGTAAGCAAAAACGTCTTCCTATTACAGTTTGGGGACCCCAAGAAATTTGAATAAAGTACAAGTGTCCTTTATACTGTGAAGCACACCTTTACAGTTTTAAAATCAAAGCTCCAAGTGACAGAAAGCAGTGTCAAAATACCAGGAAATACACAAACTCATAAAGAATCATTCTTAGAGTGAAAGCACTTAACACAGAAAAAAGGATTTGCTGCACACCCAAAATCACAACTGTGATTTCAAAGAAAGTCACGCACAAGACTCCAGCCAGATCACACAAATCAGTGTAAAAGATCTTCTACCCCCACAGTACTCTCCTACAGTACTGACAACAGAGCAGCATCTAAACGTAACCAGCAAGGGAGTATTGAAGGTTAAGAGTCCTAAATGCAATTTGTTTTCTCATACAAAGTAAAATTAACTGTAGCTTTTTATTATCAAAGCATTTATTTAAAGTAGATACAATCAAATCCTTTTGTTAGAGCAACCCATAGGGTCCCAAATAACACTGAAACCTGACTATGCTGAGCACTTCGTGAACACACGAGAGCAGCCCCTAAGGGCCACAAACTAGATATGAGTGGGTAAAAAGTAGTATCAGTACTTCATGGAGACATGAACATTAGTTTGAACAATGGGTTTGAAACCATAAGGAGCATGACCCAACCAAGATCAGTTAAAACAACTGCAAGAGACCTGAATGCACACTTCCCAACCCAGAAGCCTTGGTCGTAGGCAGGTAAGCTCCTACATGTTTAATGCACTTCACTCTCATTTTAGTCGAGCAGAGCAAGAGCAGGTTTCAGGGAAATCTTACTTTGGTTTCTGTGTTCCAACAGGACAAACACCTATGCGGCACTGTTACGAGAATGACAAATTAGACTGTGCAAGTGTTAGAGAATAATATACAGAGTAGTTTAACAAAACTTATGTAAGAAGTATGTACCAAGGGTAGGAGACGGATTCCCAATTTTTCTGTTCCCCCCCAACTGCTTACAAAAGTTCGCAAGTCTTGCTGTTGATATTCTAATATCTAATATTTTATACCTATTTCATTTAATGACATGCAAATTCTCTATTTAAAAGTCTAATGAAGTTTATAGTATTTCACCAGTGTCATTTCAAATGCACTGTTCCTCCGAGCTTAAAGATTACTTTTTGAAATACTTCACTGTAAACGTAAAGCCTGTGCCGCGCAAGGAAGAGCCTAGCAACCATGATTCATATGTTCCTCTTTCAAAGCTGGGCTGATTTAACTCTCTCCATCTGGGAATGCTTTTCAAGGTCAAACTAAAAATTTAAACCAAGACCTCAAACTTTCAATTTAATTTTCCATAAATATAGCACTTATATGGTATCAACACACAAATACTGTTATAGGAGCTGCTAATTACATTAATTCTGCTAACATCATAAATAAACACAACTTCATTTACCTTCATAATATGAAGCCTCTAAACATTGCGACTCCAGAATTCACTTCTCCTTTCAAACGTAACTTAGTTACAGCATTTTTAAAAAGGTAACTTTAAATGATACACTGCTGTACTCTTTACCAAGATTAGAACAAGCCCGTGCCATAGGCAATTTTGACATATCTTAACTGCATTATTTGTTGAGCATGTAATAAGGAAAATGCTTCTCATTTGGAAAAGGCCAATATAGCACCTTTTCCAACAAAACCAATAATGTAACATCACGTAACACGGAGCTCAGCATGTCTACTCTAAAAAACTTTCTTAAACTGAGCTGCCATCTCCTCTCCTCCAGAGGGATGCAGAAGCACCTAAGTGATCCAGTAATTTCTTAGTATTTCCAGCATTCTCTTTCAGGACAGTTACATTAGAGGTTCATGCTTGTGGTCATTAAAAGTCACTGCATCTGCATACTTTCAATTCTATTACTTAACATAGAATCATAGAATCATTATGGTTGGAAGAGACCTCAAAGATCATCAAGTCCAACCGTACACCTGATGCCACCATGTCTACTAAACCATGTCTTGAAGTACCACGTCTAAACGTTTTTTGAACACCTCCAGGGACGATGACTCCACCACCTCCCTGGGGAGCCCGTTCCAATGCCTAACAACTCTAACAGTGAAGAAAACATCACAGACAACAGAACAAATGTTCAGGTGACCCGCCTGGTGGATGAGATCTACCTGGACTTTAGCAAGGCCTTTGACACTGTCTCCCACGGCATTCTCCTGGAGAAACTGGCAGCTCATGCCTTGGGCGGGCATCCCCTTCGCTGGGTGAAAAACTGGCTGGCCAGCCGTGCCCAGAGAGTGGTGGTGAATGGAGCTAAATCCAGTTGGTGGCCAGTCACCAGTGGTGTTTCCCAGGACTCAGTTTTAGGGCCTGTACTGTTTAACATCTTCATTGATGATTTGGACGAGGGGATCGAGTGCACCCTCAGTCAGTTGGCAGATGACACCAAGCTGGGTGGGAG